GTATTTTCTTATCCTAGTAGGTGTCTTGACCTGGCCTAGTCACTACTCTACCGAGATTAGGCTTAATACTTACTGGGTACCGTCATGGTGTACTCGTTTCTACATATTTTTTTGTGCAGATCCAGGTTACTTCGACTCAGGCTAGGCATCAGTGATTGGACCATACAGTTCGGAGACTTCAAGGTATACCTGCTCGATGTTCACAGGCCTCGAAGTCACCTTCTATCCTTATTTTTGCTACTGTTTACTCTTTCTCTAGACAGTGTTTTACTAGAAATTTTTTATTATATTCCTAGAGAGCTTATGACTCAGTTCCACCAGTTTTGGGAATTTTGTTACAAAAGTTCAGTTTTGGAGTTATTATGAGTTTTATTGAATTAACTTGTTGTCTTAGTTGTTAATTTCGTTAAGTTATTCATGAATGTTAGGCTTACCTAGTTCTAGAGACTAGGTTCCATCACGACTGCTTTAGGTGAGATTTTGAGGTCGTGACAACAGACCACGCACGTAAACCAATAAATATTAAATAAAGCTGTGAGAGGTCTCGAAATATAGAAATTAAGGCTAGTACTCAAAATGACCAATCGGGTCGTCGCACATATAGAGATGATATGCATAAAGAGGTATGTATACATTTTAGAACTAGCATATAGAGAAGATATGCGATAAAATTATGTATACACCCAAGGTGTTTGCATATAGAGAAGATACACAAAAATCAAACACTAATCAATTTTTCTAATACTGTGTGTACATCATCAAGAGAGAAATATGAGAGAAGTACCCTAGGGGAGTTTAACGAATTCAATTCTGTAGGGAGAGCTTATCCAAACACACCTTAATCAATCCTCCTTAGGGTTCATAATGCTTCAATCTACATCATAAAAGTTTAATTAAACCAACATTAGTGAGAGTTTCTATGTTTTTATGTCTTTTAGGAATTTTATCAAATACCTAAGGGAATAGCCTTTTACCACCTCTAGTAATAGTGCTTTCTCATCCTTCACACCTTTTCCATAACTACATTTATACCCATAGCCACCCTTCGGTAGTATGGGACCTTCAACAATACATGTATGGCCACCCATACTACACCCAACCAACTCTCCACAATACTCAATATCAAGTTGGGAGCTTATGGCTTCCAATCACCATCCCATAAGATCCAATCCTCAAATTCTACCTACAATTAAATCAATCGAAAATAGATAAAAACTTGGAATGAAGCCTTACCTTGATAGAAGAAGACCTTGTAAACTTCTCCCCTCGAATCTCTAAGAACTGGGCAAGGAATTGAAGTGTTGAAGTGTGGAGCTCCTCCTCTCTCTCTCTATAAGATGGTTCTCTCTCTCAAAATGATTATATTCCTCTTTCTAAAACAACTTCTATGCATTTTATTAGAAAAAAGCGTCGGGTAGGAGATTTTTAAAAAAATGCCTCTTCGAAATAAATCTGAGGTCGCGAAATGGACCGCATATCGCTTATGCAGTCCGTGAAAGGGACCTCGAAATGGTCGTCCAAATTTTCAAAATGATTTGGTCGGATATGCAGTGATTCCTTAGTCTGTACTTCTATTATGTTGTCCGCATATTGGACCACAAATTCTCCTTCAAAACATTTCAGGTGGCCTGACCATTTTCGCGATAAATCTGCGGTCCGCAAAACTGCTATGTTGTTCGCATAATCACCGGAAAAAAGACCCTCAAAACTGGCTCGCTTCTGACTCATTCTGCTATGGAGAATCATCTTCTCAAGCTGATTCTTCTGCCCACTTCACGACACATTATGCGGTCCACAAATTTGTACCGCATATTAGCTTGTGCTTGGCACTTTAAATCCTTAGATCCCTAGGAACTTTTGCGGAGCCTTACATTTGATTAGTTGACTTGAGGATTAACTTTTGAGTTGATCAAATGTTAGACTTTGATTTTGGAGTATCCTAAAATTATAGGACCCAGTGTGATGACCCTCCACATCACCATACCACATAGGCACCATTTGGCATATATTAATACCATGTGGAAGCTTACATAGGAGGAAAGCTAGTATTTGTGAGAAGATTCTAGAGAAGTATGGACATTTCCTTTGGAAGACCCTAGATGCCTATGGATTTGCTAGGAAAGTCCTTGGAAACTTCTAGGCTTGTAGAGAATTCTAGAGAAAGCCCTTATTTTGTAAATATTAAGGACTTGTGTAACAATTAATATTTATACTCTAGCCCCTAAGAGACTAGTATATAAAGGGGGCCATCCATTTTTAATTCACCAAGCAAACAATTCAAGTTATCTCTGATAAAAAGCTTCCTTTAACAATTCTCTTGTGTGCTTTCTACCATTATATTAGCGATCTTGAGTGTAGTAAGGCTGACTTGGAATAGCAAGAACGTGAGCAAGTTGTGCAAGATCCTGAGCGAGTTATCAAGTGCCGCACGTGTACTTAGTTAACGACTAAGGATGTGACAACGTGGTATTAGAGCAAATGTTACAATTAAGTGAATGGTGAATGACGGAGAAATTAACGTTGCCAACACCCAAGCCAACGTCATCCAAGATGATGTTGGCAAGAGTGGCAGTAGCAAAAAGAGGAATGCCACCAACAAGAGCCAGGAGGTGACACCCGAGGTTGTGTTAAATGAAGGGCTAACATCCCAAGAACCATCTGCCACTGAGGCAAGCGAGGATGAAGTGGAGGTTTTGCCCGAGGACGTCTCGCTCGGTAAAGAGTTGGTAATGAAGATGAACTCGGGGATGGACGCCGTGGAGATCATTGGCCAACGCTTGGGGAAGGTGGAAGGCACCCTTAGCGTTCTTGAGGCACACTCTTGAAGAGATTGAGAGTATCCGAAATGACTTGGAGTGACGTACACAAACCGAAATGGAACTAAGGCAAACCATCACTGCCTTAGAGTGCAGACTCGTGGAGGCTTTGAGTACTATTGATGCTATGAAGGTAAAGATAGAGTCACTCGAGGAGCATTTTAGTGATGGCGTGACCGAGGCAGGCAGCAATGTTATGGTGACAAGGGAGGCCAAGATCGAGGCACCCAAACCCCCGGTGTTCAAAGGTGTTCGTGATGCACAAGAAGTGGAAAACTTCCTTTGGCACTTGGAGAACTACTTCAGGCACGGCAAAGTGAGGGAAGACGAGGCCATGATCAACACTGCATTGTTGTACCTCGCAGAGACTTCCATGCTATGGTGGAGAAGGAATATGGCCGACGTGAATAAGGTCTATGTACTATTAGCACGTGGGATCAGTTCAAAGCCCAGTTAAAGCGACAGTTCTTTTCAAACAATGTATTGTACGAGGCAAGGCGCAAGCTTAGGGGGTTGACGAAAATAGGGAGCATACGTGTCTATGTCAAGGAGTTCACTATCCTTATGCTTCAAATCCCCAACTTGACCAATGGTGGCTTGATGTTCCACTTCATGGACGGGTTACAAAATTGGGCTAAGCAGGAGTTGCAACGCCGGTAAGTCACAGATATAGACCAAGCCATAGTGGAGGCCGAATCATTGATGGATTTCAAGAATGAAAAGCACGACAAAGGCAAAGGCAAAGAAACAAAGATTAACAATGTCAAAGGTGGGGGAGACCGTGGCAAAGGAAAAGAGATACAACAAAAATACTACAAGACTCAAGATTCCAAAAGGTTGAGTGGCCGTCAGGGATACGCCGAGAAGTAGGCACAGGCCGAGAAGAAGGGATGTTACATATACGGAGGGCCGCACAGCTTCAAGAATTGTCCCGACCTAAAGAGCCTCAGTGCCATGGTCCGTGAACGGAAGGAGCAGCCGCGAGGAGAGAGTTCGGGAACCACACAGTTGGGTATGATTGGATTATGCGGTTCTGTCATGAAGCAATCTATCCAACCTACCGAGAATGGCAATCAGTACGTGGATCTCACCATCAATAACAAGCCTGCTCGTGCAATGGTGGATACTGGAGAAACTCATAATTTCGTGACTGAGGCTGCCGCAAAGAGACTAGAATTAAGGCTTGCTCCAACCAACTCTCGTGTGAAGACCGTGAATGCCGAGGTACAGAATGCTCGTGGGGTAGCTAATGGAGTTGGTGTCAAATTGGGAACTTGGAAAGGTATGACAAACTTAACCGTAACCGTTATGGATATCTTTGACATCATATTGGGGCAAGAGTTATTTAGACATTATCATACTTTGATCGACCCCTACCTCCAACGTCTCTTGGTTATAGAGCAACGTCTCTTGGTTATGGAGCGAGAAGTATCTTGCATGGTACCTACAGTGACTATGCCACACGGGCAGAGCCAAGTACAACTTTCATCTATGCAGGTTGTCAAGGGGATAAAGAAGGGGGAGCCGACGTTCGTGGCAACCATTGCAAGTCTGGAGGAAGACAAGAGTTTTCAAGAGACATTTACTTAAGGAAAACAAAGATGTCATGACCTAGGAGTTGCCTAAGCACTTTCCGCCTAGGCGAGAGGTGGATCACAAGATTGAGTTGGAGGCAGGGGCTAAGCCACCCGCATTTTCCCCAATCGTATGGCACCACCCAAGGTAGAGGAGCTCAGGAAATAATTGAAAGAGCTGCTAGATGTTGGTCATACTCGCCCATCAAAGGCACCTTTCGGCACGCCGGTATTGTTCCAGAAGAAGAAGGATATATCATTGCGCTTATGCATAGACTAACGAGCACTTAATAAGGTCACAGTAAAGAATAAGTACCTGATCCTGCTCATTGCTGACTTGTTCGATAGACTTAGGCAAGCCAAGTACTTTACCAAGGTGGATCTTCGCAAGAGCTACTACTAGGTTCGCATTGCAGAAGGGGATGAGCCGAATACAATATGTGTGACTAGATATGGAGCCTTTGGGTGGTTTGTGATGCTCTTCGGCTTAATCAATGTATCAACCACATTTTGCACCCTTATGAACAAGATTTTCCATCCCTACCTTGATCAATTCGTGGTAATCTACCTAGATGACATAGTCATCTACAACAACACCTTGGAGGAGCATATGGAGCACTTAAGGAAAGTTTTCCAAGTCTTGCGGGAGAATGAGCTATACATCAAGAGGGATAAATGCGAGTTTGCACAATCAAATGTGCACTTCTTAGGCCATGTTATTAGCAATGGCAAGCTACGCATGGACGAGGATAAGGTACGTGCTATCCAGGAGCGGGAGGCACCTATAAAGGTAAATGAGTTGAGATCCTTCCTTGGCCTTGTTAACTACTATCATCGTTTCATCAGTGGCTACTCAGCAAAAGTTGCACCATTGACTGAGTTGCTAAAGAAGAACAAGACATGGGTTTGGACGGAGCATTGTCAAAAGGCGTTTGAAGGCCCTAAGGCAGCTGTAACAGAGGAGTCAGTCTTGGCGCTACCTAACTTTGCCAATACATTTGAGGTGCACACAGATGCCTCAGACTTTGCCATTGGGAGTGTCCTAATGCAGGATAAGCATCCCATAGCATTTGAGAGCTGTAAGTTAAATGAGACGGAGCGGCGTTACATGGTGCAAGAGAAGGAAATGATTGCCATTGTGCATTGCCTTCGTACATGGCGACATTATTTGCTCGGGTTGAGGTTCATAGTCAAGACCGACAATGTGGCTACTAGCTGCTTCTAGACGCAGAAGAAACTCACACCAAAATAGGCTAGGTGGCAGGATTTCTTGGCCAAGTTTGATTATGTGCTAAAGTACAAACCGGGCAAAGGTAACATTGTAATTGGTGCCTTAAGCCAGAAATCCGAGCTTGCTACCATCACTTTAGCAAGTTGGGACATTTGTAAGACTATAAAATAAGGCATGCAGCATAATCCAGCAGCCAAACAGCTTATCGAATTAGCCAACCAGGGCAAGACGAGATGTTTTTGGGTAGAAGATGACATACTGCTTACCACGGGTCGGCGGGTCTACGTGCCTAAGTTTTGAGACATTAGACGGCGGATCATAAGAGAGAGTCATGACACAATGTAGGCTGGTCATCTAGGCCAACGTTGCACTAGGGCCTTGGTTAAATCAGTCTACTATTGGCTACGCATGCGAGATGACATATAATGTTATGTGCAGACTTGTCTTGTCTGTCAGCAGACAAGGTTGAGCAACAACAACCCAGAGGACTTTTGGAACCGCTACTAGTTGCAGAGCGTCCATGGGAGAGCGTGACTATGGACTTTATCACTTGTCTACCGAAGTTTGATGGTTATGGTACTATTATGGTGGTCGTGGATATATTTTCTAAATATGCCACCTTCATGCCCGCCTCACCAGGTTGCACTGCCAAGGAAGCCGCCAAGCTATTCTTTAAAAACGTGGTGAAGTATTGGGGCTTACCAAGGCATATTATCAGTTATCGAGACCCCCGCTCTACTAGGAACTTTTGGAGAGAGTTATTCAACATACTTGGCACGGAACTACACTTTTCCACTAGTTTTCACCCACAGACGGATGGACAGACGGAACGGGTCAATGCCTTACTGGAATGCTACTTGAGGCATTATATAAGCGCGTATCAGAAAGATTGGGCAAGGCTCCTGGACATCGCCCAATTCTCTTATAACTTACAGCGGAGTGAGTCCACGGGGCGGACACTATTTGAGCTAGTCACAGGCCAACAACCACAAACTCCACATTTATTACCAGTTGCGTTTGAGGGAAAGAGTTTGGGGACTTATCATATGGCCAAAGGATAGGAGGAGTAGCTTGACACTGCTAAGTCCTACTTGGATAAGGCAGCTAAGAAGATGAAGAAATTTGCGGACTGTAAGCGGCGTCCCACTGACTATAGAGTTAGGGACATGCTAATGGTGAAGTTTAACCCAAGATAGTTCAAGACATTATGGGGCATGCATCAGAATCCGATTCGCAAGTATGAGGGGCCATTTAAGATCGTCTCCAAGGTAGGCAAGATCTCATACAAGCTTGACATGACATCGTATCTTAAGATCTATCATGTCTTCCATGCCAGCATGCTTGAGCCATTTCATGAAGACAAGGATGATCCGAGTAGGATCCAATCAAGTCGAGCGCCTATTACTATCACCGCCTCACATGACCGGGAGATTGAGGCTATTATTGATTATCAGGCCAGGCGAAAACAATGGCAGAAAGCCACCGCAATGTTCCTCGTCTATTGGAAGGGGCAATCTCCGGAGGAGGCCACGTGGGAACGATATGAAGACTTATGGCAATTCAAAGATAAGATCCGAGAGTTTATGCATCAACATTGCACCGCGGTCGTTGCAACATTAGGTGGGGGAGAGTGTGATGACCCGCCACGTGACCATACCACATAGGCACCATTTGGCATATATTAATACCATATGAAAGCTTACATAGGAGGAAAGCTAGTATTTGTGAGAAGATTCTAGAGAAGTATGGACATTTCCTTTGGAAGACCCTAGATGTCTATGGTTTTTTTAGAAAAGTCCTTGGAATCTTCTAGGCTTGTAGAGAATTCTAGAAAAAAGCTCTTATCTTGTAAATATTAAGGACTTGTGTAATAATTAATATTTACACTCTAGCCCCTAGGAGACTAGTATATAAAGGGGGCCATTCATTTGTAATTCACCAAGCAAACAATTCGAGTTCTCTCTAATAAAAAGTTTCCTTTAACAATTCTCTTGTGTTCTTAGTCAAGTGTCAAGTGTCGCACGTGTACTTAGTCAATGACTAAGGACGTGACAACCCAGTCTAATATGTATACTTGACTCTGATGATGCGTATTTTGCATAGATTGAGGACTTTGGAGCGCATCTTGGTGGATTTGGATATTTTGACATCTCGAGGCAAGTGAAAACTTTACTATTAGATTATTTGCTTTTCATAAAAAGCAACTTATTTATGTTATATGTATGCTTTTTAACTATCTAGTTTGTGTGTGCAGCAAGCATAAGCTAGATTAGTTAATTTCAGACTATCTAACATAGACTGCAAGGGTCCTACTATATCACTTGGTTAGCTCTTAGCATATACTATATCACTTGTTTAGCACTATTCCTAACTTGGGCGCATTAATCCATATCTTAGCTAGCAGCTCTATATTGAGTTATTATCGGGTAAGACGGGTAGTTGATGCACCACACCAGGTTGGTCAAACATACAATCAACGCTCGGAATACGGGTAAGACATATTGGCTAACGAACCCAATGCTTCGTAGCAACGTAGTTAGTAGTAGTTAGCAGTTATCAGTATCATGACCTTATCTCTATATATGTGTTTATGATACATGTTCGTTGCATATTTGTATATTGTTTTAAACCTGTGTATGCTTTTTATGTTATTATGCACTATATTTTTTTCTAAAAACTTGTCCCAAAGGGTAACATGAGAGGGTGAATCCGTGATCTTGCTAGGTCTAGTTAATTCACAGTTTATTGTGTTATGCAGATCCTGTGGACAGTGATACACCAGTTGAGCATTGATTCTTGCTTGATCCAGTCCTTAGAGTTTAGGTGAGCCATCTACTAGTTCGTGGAAGCAGCATCAACTTCTATTTTTTCTTTCAGTCTTGTCTTTTATTTTTTATGTATAAGTTGTACTCAAATTCATAGTAGCTCCATGATTTAGTTAGATATTCGGGTACTATAGGCCAATGCTCAGACGGTTGTATTTCCATTTTCATATTTGTATCTATGAGACATCTTTAGTATTATTGTTATCTTATTTATTTTATTGGTAACAGCGTGGTTAGCTTAGTGGATTCACCTAGCGGGGCAGTGGCTCGTTGAGTGCCTTGTTTCTGCTTGAATGCCAGATATGAGTCATAGCATTTGAATCCTTTGATTCATAAATCATATTTGATGTCAGTATTGGGTTTTAACGAAGATTTGGAGTTCAAATTCATGAGTTTTCCACAATAGACCCTTAATTCCAAAATTACTCAAAATTTTGTTGGGCTTGAGATATTCTCGTTATTTCTTGCCTATTTATTAAATGAGGGCGACTAAATAGGGCGTCTCACTAAACTTTGACTTGAATGACATGAGCACTTCAGGAAACATAAGTTTGAGTACAATATTTGCGCCGTTGTGGTCTTCACAGTTGGCATTCTCTTAACGACAAGATACTTGCGCACGGATTTAGCAGCTACGAAACAAAGAAGCCTGGCATAGCTTCTAAAAGTTTTAAGTTATCATACCATACGAAACACGATAAAAGGAGAAAAAAGAATTCTAATCGAATTCCCAGAAGAAGAAAAACTACCCTGACGGAATTAGTGATTACCACATACGAAAGACCCTTATATAAAAATTTAAATTACATGAAACGAGGTCTACTCATTATCACATGGACTACTAAGAACAATAGTTTTGTACATTTAACCTAGTATGTAGAAGGATCACCATCCTCAAAAAGCATTAAACAAACATCTCGCAGACCGCATAATTGTTCAGCAATCTAATAGTAAAATTTCTCCATTTCATTCACATAATTATCATTCGTCAACCTTTGGGCTTTGCCACACTCGATTGCCTCAAATTTTTCACATAATTATCATTCGTCAACCTTGGGCTCGGGCCTCGATTGCCTCAAATTTTACATGATATCTGTAACTTCAGTATATTAAATAGATATCAAACACTTCTTGGAACATTTATCAGTTCTGGTGGAAACGACATTACATTTCAAGTACCCCATTTCTGCAGGGCTAAAACTCATAAATTACATATGAAAAAACACAATCAATTGCCAATTGTCAAATGAACCAAGTTCTTTAAGAACACAAAAGGGAGGAATGTAGACAACAAAATGGGTCTTCTGCGCCTGATCACCTCAGATGAACACCATTCCTGAGAACTATTTATAGGGTTATACTAAGCAATGGGTCAAGAATTGCAGAGGTTTGCGTCTCCTTTGGCACCAGAAAAATGATATGCTGTTGATAACCGAATAAGAAAGGGTAGCATAAGAAGTAACCATTGCTTAGATGTGCATATTACTCCAGATATCAGCTAGAACTGGAAAGTGAACAGCTAGCAGATTCTGCAATCCAAATGATCACATTTAGGACCTGCTCATTGTAGAGACAGCTCTCAATTATAATTAAAATTTCGCCAACCACCACCATGTGCTGGATCTTTCACATCCCACAAAAAAGGGCTGTAAGAGAATCAGGACCAGAAACCCTCGGATATGGTTATAATGCTCCTCATCAATTTAGAAGTGAAAAAATCTTCAGAGAGCCATAATCGAGAAATTCTGCTATCAATTAACTTTCTGACTATATTCTGCAAGTCAGTGGACAACAAGCAAATATTTACTTGACACGCCAAGCCTGGTTTGTACCACTACCACCAGCCCACCATAACAATAACTCGACTTTTGTTGCATTTAACTGCCATTAGCAGTAAGGAATTGGAAAAGAAGAAGTCAAGCTATCTCTCCTTCCTCCAATTCTTCATCCACGAGTAAAACGTTACTCAAATATGTACAGTCCTGTTTTTCCCCCAGATCCTTCTAGTTCATAGATGAAAGAAACAAATCAAGATCTGAGTATGTATCATCACATATATCTGCGACATTTTCATTAAGAAATTCACTTACAAATGATTTGGCACTTTGGCCTTCTGATAATACAGATTTGTTAGTCTCCCTTTTTTCCGTAGATGACTTGAATGCTATCTCTCCTTCCTCCAATTCTCCTTCCACAGGTAAAACATCACACAAGTATGAACAGTCCTCTTTTACCCCCAGATCCTTTTCTTTCATAAATGAATGAACCAGATCAAGATCTGAGTATGTATCATTACATATATCTTGGTCATCTTCATTAAAATGTTCATTTACAAATGATCTGGCACCTCTGCTCGCTACCAATTTGTTGGTCTCCTTTTTATTGGCAGCTGACTTGGATGCAACATTTAAGTTGGTATAATTCAAGAGATCTGAAACGTGTGGGTCTAAAGATCCACCATCTTCTATATCCTCCTCCTTGAACATCACTCCCTTGGGACTTCGGCTATCACAATAGAGCTCATTTTGCTCCACTCTTAGAGGGACAGAATCTTTGATTACTTCAAAATCACAGCTGTGTGACGGCAGGAAAACATAAATGACAGGGTACTCTAGGATAACCTTACTGGCTAGTTGTTCACGCAGCGGAGCCTTTATATCCAACTGATAAAAAGGTGATTGTGCGCCCTGCCACCAAACAAAGTAATCAGACGCCCTACATTCCCTTTGGCAGTATTAACTAAAAATAACCCATTTGAAGATGTACCCAATATAAAAATAGTTATTAAAAAATAAAAAGAAAAGCATGTCTCAAAAAGAAGAAAAAAACAACGAAAAAGAAATTACATAAAGCACACTACTTGTGGTTTGGCATTGTAAACAAAATTTACCCCCAAGGAAAAGGAAATGGAACCAGCCTATCCAAAAGAGCTGATAACAGCCACGAACATAATTATATGAAACAAATTCCAAGAAATCAGAAGAGACCTTAGGATTTTTGCAGATGAAAAGTTTAAGAGAATCCAGTGGCTCTTCACAAAATTGCCTCAATGGATGATTCCAAGGGCCTGGTTTCAAATGATTCTCAATCACGGAGCAGAGGCTTGTGTCTTCATGTACTCTGCAACAAAAAGCAATTAGTAAGTACTGGAAAGTTCACCAAGACAGTGTGTAGATCAATATTATGTAGGCCAAAACAAAAGATGAAAACTTCAGGAACCAAAAGGGAAAATACAATTAGTCATGAAGGGTGTCTTTTTATTTTTATTTTTTGGAGAAAGGCTAAGTATAGTCAAGAAGGATGTTTACCCATGATCAATCAACACAATATCTGTCAAGTGAAAACGCCATTCAATTGTCCAAGATATGAACTTTTTCCTGGGGAATAAATAAGAATTTGTTAATCATAAAACACCTGAGAATGTCATATGCATAAGATAACAAAAGCCCAGATGGTAATTTTTAAGAGCAAAAGGGGGAAGCACGTGATAAAAAGAAAGCTGAAGATAAGTTTGATGATAGAGTAGTAATAATAATAACAAACAAGGCAAACTGATGTTGCTAACAATGAATCTGGAAGAAAGGAAAAATGATTAACGGAGGCTCACATTTAAACCAACTGGCTATAAACAGAAGCCTTGTATTTCTCATGAAGTCCAAGATGAGAACAACTAGAAATCCACAGAAGAAAAAGGAGATATTTTCCAAAGGCATATGACATGGAATAATTTTACGGATTAAAAAAAAAGTTGAAGCAGGAACCAATTCACCAAGTTGTTGGCTTAGGGGATGCCAAACCAAGTAATGTGAAGGGCGCTTGCTTCTGTAATTCTAGCAAGCCGTATAATGACAACTACTACTATTATTATACGCCTCAATCTCAAACAAGTTGGTGTCAATTGTATGAATCCTCACCGACCCTGTTTATCCAATTATATTCATCCCAGGTCAACATCATGCAAAATAAAAATACAAATAAAATGTATTAGAGGTTCTCTATATTTAACTGGCAAAAAAAACTACACAGGGCTAGAACACTCCTAGAAAGCCGTATAATCATAGCACAAAAAATATATATTATGTGCACAATGAGATCATCCAAAACATGCATTATTACTGCAACTTTATGGACTTCAGACAAGAAAAAGACTGACAAACAAATATAGGCCTCCTAATCTCAAAATAATAAAGGATATCCATATGCCAAGCATTCCACCATTATACATATGAAATGTATGCATCATTAACTCAAAGCACAAGCCGACTCCACGAGACCAAACCTTTTATTGTAATAAGTTTGATTTTTCTCTCTTCTCGACATTCCGCTTGATACAAAGAGTAATTTGGTCTTACGATTCAAACCAGCTCGCAGAAGATTCTTCAGATGTAAAGGAAGCCTAAAATGAGAGTAGCCACATAGCTTCTGTCTCATTCTTTTAGCTGATTCAGCAACTCTCTTAACATCCTCAAGCATGTTATAATCTGCCAAAAGAAAAAGTTTCAAAAAGCATTCATCAATTGGGAAAAAAAAACAGCTTCCAAAAGCATATCATAACAGAAGAAGATTTTCACCATTGTTGAGACTTCTTCCCAACTAATGGAATTGCCAAAGGCTCATTTAAGGCACGCTTAAGCCTTGAAGCTCAGAAAAGCTAGAAGAGGTCACTTTGCCTCGCTAAGTTGCACTTCAGTGTAGGCAAGGCACTAAGGTGTGCGTACTCATTGCGCACGAGTTCTATCTTGAATCAAGCGGTACTAAACAACAAATATAACAGGCAAATAAGTTCATTAGTTAAGAAAAACATTATGAATGAATTTGTTACTTTTTCTTAAGTCTTAAATTACATATATATTTTTATTTTTATTTCCCATCATGCCTTTTTTTTTTTTACTAAAGCCCACACTTAAATTGACCTTTGCAGTTATAGCCCCAATAGACCTAGAGANAGTGCGTATAGAGCAAGCAGGGCATTTGTATTTCCATGAATTTGACTTGCACTCTTCGCATTCACTTGATAGTACGGGGTTAAGGTAAGGCGCTGAAGCAGATGCCTCTTTCTCGTCCATTGCGCAGATTAGCCTCTGATGGTTGTTGCGTTTAGGGTTTATCGGGGCTTTGGTAGTGCAGCCAAGGAAGAAGACGTCCGTGTTCAAGCAACGGCGTTTTAGATTTAGGCCTTCACTAAAACACCGTCGTTTAGGAGTGAAAAAGGCTTTTTTCTTTGAGAAAATGACTGACTATGCCCTTCAAAATTTTAATAGCCCATGTTTTTCCCATTTACACGAAATGTCCCTCCGACCCAAAAATATTACATCTAATAACCCAAAATATCTATTTTGTATATTTTTTTGTATAGTGACAGTCTATTTTGTATATATTTTGTATAGTGACAGTCTATTTAGTATAATTGTTTGTATAGTGACAGTCTATTGTATATAAATTGTACAGTGACAGTCTATTTTGTATAATTGTAGTCTTTTTTGTATATTTTTTGTATAGTGACAGTCTATTTAGTATATTTTTTGTATAGTGACAGTATATTTTGTACATATTTTGTATAGTGACAGTCTATTGTATATAAATTATACAATGACAGTCTATTTTGTATATATTTTGTATAGTGACAGTCTATTTAGTATATTTTTTGTATAGGACGGTCTATTTTGTATATTGAAGAATCACTAGATATGAGGAGAGAAGGTGGGTAAGGAACTTCAAGCAAAATTGAAGAAGCTTGCGTGGAAATCTCAAGCTCTGATTCTATGCTATGTAGGACACATATAAAAATGTATATGGATATTCTCTTTGCACATGTATGTTCATACATCTATACAACCACAGATAGGCTGGAAAAGGACCCATAAGCAGCCCATATCATATCTAAAATAGAGTGTTCAAGAAAGTTTACAGATCATGTTTTCTACAACTGCAAAACTTGTCCAACTCTCTCCTTGCTCAATTCTCAGTTGCCCTTCTTCTTTATCCTTGTCATCTCATGTTGCCACATCACTGTGTTACTTTTGTAAAAGCCCAATGAATCCACGTGACTTAGGCATCTTTAGAGGCCCAACACCGAATTACGTGGCACCACAAATATCCACACCCATTTTCTCTTCTCCCCTTCTTACCCTTACCCCATGCACTATAAATGCCCGTTAATACTTCAGTGCAATTATATCAATTGAATTTCTCAACCCACATTCCTATGCTCACGTCCTCCATCTTAAACAACTACAAGTTAGGGAGCTTTGTTAGATATTTCATTGAACTGATACAGGCGGAGGGGAAGCGGAAATTTTGTGCCTACCTTTAAGTTTTTGGCTAGCTATTATAATTAGTTTTTGGCTTCAAATTGCATAATAGATTTGTGGGCTAGATATTGTCAAAAGTTTCAACCGAGCAGCTTAAAGTGAAATTGTCTCTTTTTCTTTCTTATACCCAAAATATATTCTACTTGTCCCTTAGACCCGTAAAGACTTAATTGATCTTAGACTTCACAAGCTTAGATTAGTAGAGACATAACACTACGGATAAGCCTATGGTACGACCTCGGGATGCACATGAATTCTCTTGTGAGAGTGAGCGATTAACTTTTGTTCATAATGTTCTTAACTTATATTTGAAACTCTTGATTTGAATATGTGGACTACATACTCTCTTGTTCTTTGGCGAGGACACATGGTTCCATGACAGATAGGTAACTTTATTAAACTTCTCTTGTTGGGGTGAGTGTGCAAGTCGAGAGTGCTTATTGACAACGAGTTGGTCTTTGAGGTTGGGCGATTATGGGCAACTTGTTTGAGTGTTTTGAATTATTCACTTATATTTTGGCATGTGAAGGTTGGGAAGTGCATGAATGCGGATGCAATGGCTTAATTATTGGTATCAATCATAGTCATAGGTGTAGTGCATTGAATTGCTAAATGCTCCTCTGTTGTATGATATCTTGTGTTGTGTGTTTGGGTTAACAAAGTGCTAGGTTGCTCGAGGACGAGCAAGAGCTTAAGCGTGGAGTGGTGATGTTTGGCTAAAATTCTATATTTTTGCATGTAAATTGCCTTGCATTATGCCTCGACCTTGTTAAATTTAGTGCGAACATTTGTTACTCAAGCTTAATAATGGTGTTTATATGTGTAGGGGGTCAATCGAAGGTGATATGGGAGGATTGTGCGTAAACTGAAGCTAAAATGGAAGAATTTAGAGGGAGTAAGATTTTTGGCATCCAGGTTTGAGCCATGCCCCATTCAAAACGTAAAAGACAGCACAAGACAGAGTTGGGCACCCAACTTTGCGCCAGTCGCCCTCCGTGGCGCCCAAGCGAGAAACTTTTCCTATTTCATCTAGGACTTGGTAGTTTGGACCCTACTGTCACGACCCAAAATCCAACTAGTCGTGATGGCACTTAACCCAACTCGCTAGGTAAGCCAGTTAATCACTAACCAATTTCAATAATAATTAATAAAGCAATTAAGCAAAGAAATTATCTAAATCTTATACATTTTCCGAGGACTGGTAGTACAAATCATGAGCTTCTAAGAATAGACTTTACAAAGCTGGTATGAAATAAATATCCCATCTGTTTGAAAAGTACATAAACAGATTTTTATAAAACTAAGGCTACCATGAACAAGAGGCAGCTACAACCGGAACGCAAGTTGTCTTCAATTCCAGCTCCCGTCAAGCACAGCAACATCAGCATCCAATATCTACAAGCAAGGTGCAGAAGTATAGTATGAGTACAACCGACCCCATGTACTCAATAAGTAACAAACCTAACCTTAGGTTGAAAGTAGTGACGAGCTTGTACCAAGGTCGGATCCAACACCAATAGCCAACAACAGTCCATAACAACGTAAAGTAAGTAATACAAGAAGTAACTCAGAGATAAAATGCTCAACAAAATCATGATTTCTGAAAATAGTTCTGCCTTTCAAGTACATTAGTGAAAACCTAAATCGTTTACCGAAGTTGCCAAAAATATGAATAAGTTTGAAAACAGTAATTTTCCCAAAAATCCTTTCAATAATAATTAAGATGTTTCATTTTCTTTCCAGATAGCCAGAGTAAAACCAATGCATCACTATGCCCATATGTCAACATGTGTGAGAAGTCATGAATGACGTGATACCGTACATCATGAGGAAAATACATCCCTATGCATGTATGTCATGTGTGCATGTCAATGCAATGTATCTCAGAGATAAACTCATGTACTCACACTCTCAGAGTACTCAATCTCACTTTCTCACACATTCCACTCATCGTGCTCAATCACTCGGTATTGTATATGGCCAATCCGGCCCAAGGAAGATCCATCCCGGAATATACACATCAACTGATCATCAGTCACTCGGTACCAAGTAGGGCCAATCCATCCCATGGAGAAGATCCATCTCCAGGTATATAATGCTTCGGACAAGATCCATGTCCAGGGAAGATCCATCCCTCAATAATAACAATCGCGCTCATTGAGGGTGTGTGTAGACTCCGGAGGGGCTCCTTCAGTCCAAGCGCTATAATTCGCACGAACAACTCACTTACCATAGTATCAATATCAGAATCAATCAGGCCCTCGGCCTCACTCAATCATCAATCTCTCCAGTCTCTCTCTCACGGGCTCACAATGTCATGAAACTAGCCCAAAAATGATGTTATAATATATCAATAAATAACAATAGAGACTGAGATATGATATGCATATGAATGTATATGACTGAGTATGTAATGCAACGAAAGCAGATAACTCAACAACATAAATGACCTCGGTGGGTCCCAACAGGATAAGCATGTAGCCTAAACATAGTTTATAGCATGAATCACATTTTGATAACTCTAGTACGTAAAGATTTCATGATTTCAGACAAGTTCAAGTAACTACACAGTACCACATAAATGACGGAGTCACAGCTCACACGGTGCACGCCCACACGCCCGTCACCTAGCATGTGTGTCACCTCAACACCAAACACATAACACGTATATTCAGAGTTCATACCCTCAGCTCTAAGATTAGAAGAGTTACTTACCTCGAACAAGAAGAATCCAAATACTGAGCAACCCAAGCGATGCTCCAAAATTGAGATCCCGCGCATTTCGACCTCCTAACGGCTCGAAACTAACCAAAAATAACTCAAGCACATCAAACAATGTTAAAGGAACCAATCCCGATCGATAAAGATCAAATCTTGAATCGAAAGCCCAAAATTGGCCAAAAGCCCAACTCGGGCCCGTACCTCAGAACCCGACAAAATCTACAAAATCCAAACACTCATTCAATTACGAGTCCAACCATACTAGTTTCACTCAAATCCGACTCCAAATCGATGTTCAAAACTCAAAAATTCACATTATGAAACTTTAGGCTAAAACCCTCAATTTCTCTTTAAGATTCATCAACCAATTGCCAAAAATGAAGATAGATTCGTGGAATAAGATCAAAACCAAGTGTAGAATACTTACCCCAATCTTTGTGATGAAATTTGATCCAAATATCGCCTCAATTCGAGTCCCACATCTCAAAATA